TAAAACCATTGCAGCGCGCGAAGTCATTAAGTCCAGGCGACGTCGGATTATTTTTGCGCATGATTAATTGCTATAAATCCGCATTACACAAACGACCCGTTTATAACTATACTAACAATCCCGTAGGCGTCGTCCGTACTAATCACGTTATCCAACCGCCCTGACTTCTTGTAGTCCCACTTCCGAAGAGAAAAAGGGCACGAAGACCACGATGGCTCCATTAACCGGTTGGGGATAAAAAAAAAGGTACGAGGGGTCCTTGACCCGCCTCGCATAAAATACCGACTTCACTAGCAATACCATAGGACCCTTGGGGACCAATAGTATATAAGCCATTGAAAGTCCTTTTACGCTGTGTCAGATCATGTAAGACCCAACAACTCGTAAGGTAGAAGTCTTCGGGCCTTAAGATCAGGTCATTGGGCTAGCTAGGCCCAATAAACAAGATTTTACACTTTGGGGCCCAAAGATGGTGCGTAGACGTCTGTGCACTCTCACGTGTATATTGAATTACCAAATGTTTTCGTGTATGAATCGAGTTATCGTCGTGTTAGTATTTTCGGATTGTTATTGATTCGAGACCGAATCAATTCGTTTAACAATGATTTTTGGTATTGTGGTGTATTGTATTACGTAGGTAGTCGCGGTGCCAATATTTGATCAAGTTGCGTGCATTGAATTAGCCTTGAAAGTTTTCTGTTTTCAGCCCCTCATTGTTTGTAAAATTTACTCTTTTCAACCCTCTAATTAAATAACTTTCCGGTTTGATCCTTAAATCATTTTTCTTGACATTTTAACACCAAAAATTATTGAGATTAATATTTTTCAGCATATTTTTCATTGAAAACAGTTTAAGTCCCTGAAATTGCAGTTTTCTCGGTTATAGCCCCTCTTTTTCGCAGTTTTTACAATTTTGGCCCAAATTGGAAATTTTTTGCAACTTTGGTCCTTTTTAAATTTGAAAAGCATTTTAAACCTTTGAAAAGTACTTGGAACCTTAGTAGTCCACTGTTTTACAGAAAAACACAGTTTTGGCCCTCCAAAACAGAAAATTTCGCATAATGGGCCCTATTGGGCCGAAATTGTCATTTTTAGCCCATTAAGCTTGAAATTTATATTTTTAATCCTCCAAATGAGTATATTTTCAGAAAATATTTCATTGAAACTGTTTTGACACTCCTCATCCATCAGAATTCGTGATATGACATTTTGGGCCCTTTAACTTTATATTTTTATCATTTTATGTCCAAAAATTGAGTTTTTAGTCCAAATAAAATGTTATTAAGCCATTTAGCTATTTTTCTTGGAACACTTTGTATGTAGAAATATACTTGATGCTAGTATCATTAATCATAAAGTATATCTCGGTTTTTAGGGGTTTTAAGGCTAGATCCAACATTATAACACACAAAAACACACATATAAGCATAGAAATCATACAAGGCATACAAAACATATATAGATCTACACTTTCACTTGTATTCCCCCCCCCCCACAAAACTCATAAAAACAGAAAATAGGGGGTATGAAGCTCACCTTAGGGTGTGGTTTCGGTTTTGGAGGAGAAATGGAAGAAAGTTTGGTGATTTTTCGGCCCTAGCACCCTTTGATGAAGATCTCGGCCTTGAGGTGTTTCTAGTTTACAAGATCATGATTTCTCATGAGTTAAGAAGAGATTTTTGATAGATCAAGGAACCTAGATCATAGAATTTAGTATAACCTTACCTTGGAGGGTGATTTTTGTGAAAAATCTCCTTGGATTGCCCTTATTTCTCGAAAATTTTATGAAGAGAGGGGAGGTGTTCTTGGAGAGTGTTTGATATGTAAGGAGTGATGAAAGTGTGTGTGTGTGGGTGCTTTCGGCCGAGGTCAAGAAGAAAGAGGAGAGAAATGGTTGAGTTGACATTCATAGATGTATGTTGGTCCATGCATGGAAGTATGTTGGACATAAGTGAGGTGGCATGAAGAAGTCAACTCCTCACCACTTCTTCTTGGGCTTGGGCCTTGGGCCGAAATGGAGTAATCATGGAGGATTTTGGGCCTTATCTTGGTCCTTACTCGAAATTATGAAGCCCAAAAATAAATTTTCGGCCCATTGGGGCAAATGAAATCTTTTATGGCCCAACAAGGCTCATTAGAGATAAGATGGATTATTTTAGGCCCACAGGAACTTTAAGAGGTTGTACAGCATGGAAGGAGGTTGCTAGAGCTGTCAGAACCTGCACATGGAAAATCGGTAACTTAACATGCAATACAATACAACACTAAAATGATTCTTTGGATCATTTTGTAAATAAGATTTATTCATTACTTTGCCTCTGTTAAATTTTATTAGTTATTAAACAAATTATATTATGTACAAAGATAAACATAAATAACACCAAATATAATCAGGACAGATAATCATGCTTCTATACCTATACCTATACCAATGACTTTCAACAACCATTAAAAGTTTATTGATCAAGGAAAGCAAAAATAAATAAATAAATAATGCACTAGAAATAATAGATAACAAAAGGCAACTTTTGTAACTACCTGTTGGTCAAAGATTTTAGCTCTGGCAAGTCAACAAGTAGCAGGTGTGCATCTGAGGAAAATGAAGAAATTTTATTAGTCATCAAACAAAAGTTTAATACCCGTTGTCTTTTTAAGCAGGAGTGTGGATGTGTTTTTCAAAATGATTACCTAAAAAATGTTGTAATATTACGATTCTAGATTAAACCTTTTTTAAACCCATTACTTCCGGATATAAAGATATCTTATATTATTAAAAAGGACCAGCATACTTCCAGTTTTCTCTTCAATCAAAAGTGTAAGACAGGACAAATCTTTGCTAGTACTTTTTATTAAAGCTTTTACACCCATTTTATCGTTTTTTGTAAGTAGTTTAACTCAGTGCATGGCCTTATATTTTATAGGAAATTCAGTAGTACTTGTCATTGTATTTAATTAGATAAAAAAATGCACCTTATAATTCAAAGAAGCAAACTTTCAAAGAGGTTATTCTGCTCATTAAGTATTTTCCCACAGTTGGCTTGGCTTCTAATCACAGAGCCTTATGAACACTGGTATATGTTCCTTGCCTAATCCACATCAAAACAATTAGAATTAGATAAGGCCATAAGGGTACAAGTTCATGAATCTTACGATGATGTAAACAAGGTCATTTGGATCAAACAACACATGGTGAGGTGGAGGACTAAGGGTAATTTCATCTTTTTAGTTATTAACAGAAGGAATGGAAGCATACCAGCTAAGCCAGTATATGCGCAAGTGTTTTGAGGAGAGTTTGAAGTTGTAATTGTGTTTTCACGAGCCAGATAGGATTTGTAAAAAGATAATACCTGAATAAGTATCTATTAAATGATATAATAAACCAAAAAAAGTGAAAGAAAATCACTAAATGAAGAGTAAGTATAGTTGTAACAGAGGCGTAATTATGTTAAACTATTCTTTTCCCAATTTTACCCCCTCTTCTGTAGCAAATTTAAAATGCAAATATCAAATCAAGGTAGCTTTATCTATAATTAAATTATAGAAAAAAGACATGAAAAATGCAGTTAAAGCAACAATGGAAGCTTGAAGGATCTCATCCTCAATATGTGTGACAACAAAATCTCCAGAAATGTCTCCTAAAATCACTCCAGAACAAGTTTGCGCTTACTTAAACTCCATCACTTTGTCTTATGGTGTAAGGCTATAAGCAAGTAGAAGACAAGTGTATAAAGGGTCATGCGTTCCAAATCTGTCATGACCATGACATAAACAAAACTCAATTTAATAAAATAGATTTCATTAACAAGCTAAACAGCAAATCATTAGTTTCCATTGATAAAAACTTAATTTTAGGAGAAAATAGATTAACCTGATATGATATAAAGGGTCATGCGTTCCAAATCTGCATTTGTACTCTTTAGGAGAAAAAGACCTGTTAGGATCTAACCATTTTTATAAAGGTTTGAGATACTTGCACCAAACAATAAAAGAATGAAAATAGAATTAAGCTTGCAAGTTGATGGCACAAACTCCAATTTACTAGAATGGTGAGAAATCATGATTAATACACAAATCAATAAAGAGTCAACAAAGCCAAGACATTTATGCTCAAAAACTATTTTAGGCCATGTAAGTTGCAGACTTTCTTCACCTCCATATACAATACTAACATGTAAATTCCCCTGTAAATCAGATTTATCATTACATTAATCAAATTAAGCCTCAAATCATGGTGAAATTGACATCATGTTACATGATACCCTATTAGTTAAACAAACCGCTTATACCAAAAGTTAAATATCCAATGGGACATTTACCTAAAGTTTTTGAATTGTTGATGTCAAAGTGTATAATATAATAGAGCAGTTGCACCACATTCATAATAGGTAAGTGATATATTGTCAATCTCTTGATCACATCTAATTAGGATTACCGGATGACCAATTACTCGAGTCCATCATCTTAAAAATGATGTAAACTACTTGTCATCTGTCCACATTCACAACCTCATAACCAAACATGAATATTCTTTTTTATTTTTTACTTTTTTATTACTTAATGGAATTACGGAACTTACATTACTTGTTTTCTTCCATAAACAATCTCCGAGATGAATAAGCACCAATTCAACATCTTTGGTCATCTTAGCAGTAATCATAGCCAAATTCTCTTCCCAATCATCAATCATAGCATTAGCACCAAATTAAGCCTACATAAAACAAAAAAGACAACAACTTGGATACTTTTTTTTGTCTTTTTTCTTTTTGAATTTCGTAAATAATTTATATAATCATATTAAATTTTACAAAAAAGGACAAAGTTGACTTGCCTGAACTGTTGATGATACCCTAGTTAAAGAAGCAAGTTTTTTTGCCCACCAGGCTTACCGCTATTAAGTCATTATGTACAGACCATTTCTATTGATCCCTCACTCAATGATCTGTATATTGGTACCACCCCTGCCATGATTGGAGAATGTAATCCCACTAAACAGAGCTCGTTCAGAAAAAGAAAACATTACCAATATCGACACCAGGTACAGGTCCGACCCATCTTTTTGTATTCACTCGGGCACCTTTATTCATCAAGACTGTACCTAACCATAAATCTGCCCGTCTTGAGATTCCCGGGAATACCCCTTTTGTGTGATCTTTCTCCTTAGTAGATTGTAAACGAAAACCACACGTTGGACTATAAATGCTTGCGGAAACATTTTTGACAGCCTCGATGCTTTCACTTTCACAAGCCAAACATATAGTCCGTAACATGGGAGGTGAACTAAAGCGATGCCAAAGTACCTGCAGGATGTGAAAAGTCATATCCACCCCCGACATATATATATATATATATATATATATATATATATATATATATATATATATATATATATATATTTCATTGGATGCAATGCAACATACCACATGGGAGCCCATGGAGTAGCAATTTCCAGGAAGGGATAAGGCCACCTGCAATAGCCTCTCAAACTTCAATCCCAAGAAATTTATAGTAAATAATTGATAAATGAAAAAAGAAGTGGGTTCTGGTAAGTGGAAATCACCATGTAAAGCAGCAGACATGCATAACCCACTGGAAAATTATATAAGCTGAGCTCCACAAGAAAAAGTATGTTAACCCGTGCCAAGTAAATTGTTACAAGGGGAACAAGAAAAAGACAAACAGTGAGATAATGGCATCAGCTCGACACTTATTAGGATCATTAATATAGTGAATAACCAATTGGTGAATGCGATCCAATCACTTACTAGGTTGTTGAGAGCAGAATCCAGGAGGAGAAAAACAACATTCAGGGAGTGCATGCAACCAATCAACTGCAATCACAACAGAGATTTATTTATAGCCAAACTAACTCTGAATCAGAATGCCAACAGCAACAGTTCCGAATGAATCATAATGTACAGATATATTTGTTATGAGGTAGCAAACAATAAAAAGAGAATGATAATTATTTCCAGGAAGCAAAAGGAAAAAGGAGGAGATTTAAATCTCTTTTGAAGAGTGTGAGAGGTTGGTATTGTATTCCCAAATCCGAATGAAAGAAAAGGGGCAAGGGACAAAATATGCTAACCAGGGTAAGCTTGAAGCCATCGACAGACTGAAACGGGAGTAATAGGCACCAAAATACAAGGTCAGTAAGCACAACAGCACCTGCACAAGTCTGTTCACATACACCAAGAATCAGCTTTAAACACTTTTAAAAAAATATATCTCATGACTGCATGAATATCAGAAAGCTCAAGGTGATCAATCTCCTTAGCAGAATTGTAACGATTTGAAGATGGACCAGAACCCCCTTGTGATGGGAAAATTGGAACATGAACTGTAATGAAATAGGTCACCAAATGAATCAACACACATTAAGTTTGTCTTGGCTGGTAAATGAAAGGACACTAGCTGGAAGTGATAAATTGAGAGGAACTAATTCCCTAAACGAAAAATAAAAAACAAAAATGCCAATAAATTCAAGAGTAAATGTGCTAAGACTTAATAGAGAATGTTATTCACTTGCCTGTTTTGATCTAAGCAGTCTAAAGCATCAATTTGGTGATATAAATCCTTGCTATTGCCAAGGATTCCAATCCCAAGAAAAAATCTTGCCAAACCCAATATCTTGTCCCCTAGTATCTGCAAAGATCAAATAAAAAGAATTATAAATTTTAAAATTATGAGCATAGGAAATACAAGTGGTGTCTAGAAACATAATAAGATTGTGTCATATATTAAAACTTCCGGAAGCGAAAGCGAAAGTTGTTAGCCCACGAACAACTGATGAGGTGGCTGAAACAGGACCTTGATGTTGATCATCAAAGAAATTGGCCCCATCATCTACAAAATTGTATAAAAACATGAAGCATGTGTAAAAAAATAACGATATCTCCCATGTTAGAATATAATTCATGCACTAACCATATTTATATAAATTTTCAAATAGCTTCACAACATCCTTTTTCAGTGCCTTAATCTGCAAAAAGAAAAGGATAATTAGAACAGATAAGACCCTTAATGCAATAATATGTCCAGTAAACAAGAAAGTTAAGAAAAAGGCACAAGCAGCTGAAATTTGTCAAATTCTTCAATGTACAACTACAATTGTAAAAGTTTATAAAAATTTATAAATGCCACACCATATAATGTGCACTAAAGCTTAAAATGTATCATGGCTGATGTGATACGTTAAGTGGTCTACTAAAGCTTAAAATTTGGTTTAGACATTTTAACAAACACATAATGTGCACATTATGTTGATCAGAATATATGGCCTTTCAATTCTCACAGAACCAAAAAAAATTGAGAAATAAATACAGGAAAGGAAACCAAATGACATTTTCTAACAAAAACTAATCAATCATGAGGAACACAACGCAAGATGAAAAAATGAAGTAGTACCGATGGAAGGGGGACAACGACGGCTTTTCGTCTCCAAACTTACATCTGGTATCGTTCCAATTTGGGAAAGCATGTGAAGGGTCTTCTTGAAAGATAATATTGCAAGGTACAGGGCAAAACAACAATATTACAATTACTAATGACAAGGGAAGACCTTCAAAGGATAAGATTGAGAAGATGGTTCAGGAAGCTGGGCAGTATGAGTCTAGAGATGAGGAGCCCAAGAAGAAGCTGGAGGTGAAGAATGCTTTAGTGAATTATACGTATAACATGAGGAACACAGCAAAAGATGAGAAGCTTGGTGAGAAGTTGACTCCGGTTGATAAGAAGATTGAGGATGCGATTGATGAGGTGATTGTGGTTATATACAAATCAGTTGGCTAAGGGGGATGAGTTTAAAGATAAGATGAAGGAGCTTTTTCCCATTTTGAAACTTTTAGGTTAGAGGGAGATAGAGAGAAAGAGAGGAGTAGAGAGAGGGATGAGATTGAATTAATAAATGTAGGAGGTGCTAGAGGTGGGTGAAGGCGGAGGCCCTAGGGCTTCTTGTTGCTAATTCAAAGATCAACATCGATGGTGGTAGGGAACAAGGTAAAAAAAAGAGGAGATCAAACCATTTAGTGTGAGGGTCGATTTGGAAGAAATCTCAAACCCTTAACCTTAAACATGATGTGAAGCGATTGATCCATAATCTTCTTCGTCTCCATTAATTCCTTGGGCTCACATAATCGGACGATGGTGGTAAATAAAGCATTTTTCGAGAAAGAAGGTGCATCGTTGCAGTTTGAGGCTAGAAGAGGCAACGACGATTGGAGGCAGTGGATGTGGGTGAGGGGTGGAGATGAGGAAGAAGAAGTTGGGGGTTTAAAAAATTTGGGATTTCATTTTCCCTTGGAGACGCGCGTTTCTTAAAAAAAATATAAAGTGACAATTCCAGAGGACGCACAAGTGCCCTCCGTGTTTTTTATATTTTTACATGAGACACTAATTTAAGGGCACGCAATAATGCGTGACGTAAATCCATAATTTTTTTGAAGAGATGACACTTTTTTAACGTTACTCTCTTTTGCGTAACATAAATCAATGAGTGTCGTGGTTTGCGCGTCGTAAAAGGCTGTTTTTCTAGTAGTGTTTCTCTTCAGAATTTAACCTATCTTCCCCACAATTAGTTATTGACAAAACATGAGGCGGTGGTTCCCCAAGGGTATGCATGTAATTACCATATTCAAGTTTATACGTGTCATGAGACTCAGAACTGTAATTTCTATAGGGTTGAGCATACCTTGACTTGGTCAAACCATTTTCATGATCGTAATTGGACCACCATTTGACTTGTGCACAAGGGTAAAACTGGAAACTTGAGATAGATGAGGTTATAAGTGTTTCTTGAGGAAATTTAATCAAAGAAGAATGATTTTGAGGACTGAAAGCGCTTTGAAAAGGGTGTCGTTGGTATGATTGTGTGAATGATGTTGGGAGATTAGAAGTGATTTGTGAAAAACCTTCGTCTTGTGACTCCCTGTGAGGAAACGGTGAAATTGAAAATGATGAATACGTAGATAGCAATGAAAGGGGTAAATGTGTGACCGTTGTTTTAGACTCACTAGGGCGTGCTTTCTCCTAATTAGATAAGCCCATTGTCCGATTCATATTAGATTGGCCCAAAGACATAATTTCAGCCCATTATTGTGTCGACCTAAATAACCCTCCTCCCATCCATCATTTAACGGAGCTGTTATCTCCGTGAAGCTCCCTATGCACTCCGTCAATGTCCTGATCGGAAGTACACCTGGACGATGCTCGTAACTTGCTCCCGTCGTTGAAGATTTAGCTGGACCCAAATCCCCCCCCCCTCTGGTTTCGGATCAGAGAAGGTTAACAAGTGTATTGCAGACTCATAAACCGACGATGATTGTTTGATCGTATCCAGCTGCTCATAACCGTTCCTATTCGCTTTCCATGGCAAGCTCTCCACCACCTTTGATGACTTTAGAGTGGAATTGCAACCAGAGAAACACAACGAACCTTCACTCATAGGTACAGGGGTGATCGGAGAAGTACATGAGGAATCTGGAACTCTAGAAGATGAATTTTGGTAATTTAGCTTGATCTTCTTCTCCACCGAAGGCAATCCCATCGATGCAACCGAAACGACACCGAAAGTAGGACGAGATTGGAAACCGCTAACCATGCCGGACGTATCCCTAGAAGCATCATCAACCACCGACGCTGGTAATTTCCTAGTCGGATCGGAAACAATGCTAATATTTGAGAAGAACGCTGGATCCTGTTGCTTCATCCAATCCAACATTACTTCACGAAACGCAGCCTCTTCTAGCGGTCCGGATTGAGGCCATATCGGTCCTGATTTCCTCAATGTCTTCATGAATCCTTGTTATTTGCTTATCATGATGATCCAGTCGCTGAGAGACAGATCTAGTGTCCACCACTAGTGGCACTACCGTTACTCAACTCCGGTAGGTCAAGGCAGGTCGGATCAATGATGAGGAACAGAAATTAGGGTTTAATGAATCAACAAAAACACAGAGGAGATTGTAAGGAAGACGAAGATGAAATTGAACTAATTGATTAAACAATAACACAATCTCCTGATAGGATGATTGCCCAGGGATGAATCCCTCTCTCAAAGGCCTAGCCAATGAGCCAATCTCACTCTAGAGACTAACACCGATCTAAGATATTTCTCCCTATCTAACAATGCAATCCTACCCTCTATTTATTAGCAGACCTCTAACAAACTCTATTTAGGAATTACCCTTTTACCCCTTTAAGTATTTAACTATCTAATTCCTATCAGACTTTTATGGATAGGCGATGAAAATACACTGCTCACTTCGAGGTTTGAGCTTGTCATAAGTCTCTCATCTTACGAAAACCCCGCAACCCCAAACCTTGATATGTGATAACGAGGGATCTTTCCTTGTGCACATCTTGTGAGGTGTTTTGACAACCTTCTTAGTCGGGACTAGATTAAGGATATTGGTGGCAGTCTCTAAGGCATACCTCCAAAATGAGAAAAGCAATGAAGCTTGACTCATCATTGAGTGAACCATGTCCAACAAGGTTCGATTGCGCCTCTCAGCCACACCATTCAACTCCGATGTCCTGGGTGGCGTCAATTGCGAAAAATTCTGCATTCCTTGAGGTATTCGTGGAACTCGATACTAAGATAATCACTACCTCGATCGGATAGGAGCATCTTTATCTTCCTGCCCAGTTGATTCTCCATTTCTTATTTAAACTCCTTGAACTTTTCAAAGGTTTCTGACTTGTACTTGATTAAGTAGATATACCTATATCTGCTATAATCATCGGTAAAAGTCATATAGAAGTGATTCACATCCATCGTGGTGGATCTAAAGGGCCCACATACATCGGTATGTATGAGATACAATAAACCCTCACCCTTTTCACAAGTGGTAGTGAAGGGTGACTTGGTCATCTTCCCAAGTAAACAAGACTTGCACGTGTCATCGTCCCTAAGGTCGATTGACTCCAACACTCCATCCTTTTGGAGTTGGGCTATGCGCTTCTTGTTGACGTGTCCAACACGACAATGCCACAAGCATGGTTTGTCCAAACCATTGGAAGAATCGATATGCAACACAACATTCCCTAAGTTTTCTATAATCATCACAGTTTCATATATACCATTACAAGGAAATGCTTCAAAATCGGAAGTACCATTAAATAAAGCATTAATAGAACCACCTTTCATTATCAAATGAAAATCTAAAACCTTGTTTATACAAAGCATGAAAAGAAATAATGTTTCGTGTTATTTCTGATGAATAGCAATAGTTATTCAAATCTAAACCTAACCTATTACTAAGCACTAAAGAGTAAACTCCAATCTTGGTAACATGTGACACTTTCCTATTATCCATGATCAAGTTTATCATCCTATGCTCCACATCCCTAATTCTTCTTAGACCCTGCAAATCAGAACAAATGTGAAAACCACATTCTATATCGATGACCCAAGACATAGCATGTGATGAGTTATAGAATGAATAGTATAAATACATGCGAAGTTGGGCTTTATCTTCCCATCATTGATGTCCTGCAGGTACTTCGGGCAACTTTGTTTCCAATTCCCTTTGTCATGGCAGTAGAAGCACTATCAAGGTCAACCCTTGGTCAAAGTAAAAGTCAACGATCAAGGTCAACAATCCATGTGGACCCAACTCATCGAGTGTAGTTCACCGACTTGTCGAGTCCTTACAGAACCCGAGAAATCATGAAAACCCTAATTAACTCGCCGAGTTTCCAGACAACTCATTGAGTCCATGCATGTCCAAATGTGGGGAAAACCCTAACTGACTCGTCGAGTCACCTTAATGACTCGCCAAGTCCATACAAAAACCCACCACGACCAATCTTCATCCGACTCGTCGAGTTGACCATGCAACTCGTTGAGTCCCTTCAGTCTATTTCTCATTCAGACGTTTTTAAGCTACCCCAAAGCTCCAAATGCAGATCTAACCTCCTAGACCATGATTTCCATGTATAGTTGCAAACTTTACGTACATGCATGGTCCTAGATGCTTAAACCAAGCTAAGGGAAAGGTTGAAGCCAAGAAGAAGAGCCAAAAGCTTGCTAAATCTGATAACTTTATGGCTATAGGGACTTAGAGGAGTCCATATCTAAAGTTGCAACTTCAGATCATGCCCAATACCTGAAATAACCCTCAACCCACTAGAAAATGGCCCTAAGCATTTGTATGAAGAGATATAGCCAAAGATAAGTCAAGGTAATAACTTGTTACCTTCAAAATGATGCCAAGATGAAGTAAAGTCAGATCCACAAGCTTCTCTTTGCTCCAAGCTCCTTAGACTTCAAGCTTTCTTCACAAAAACTACTTTCCAAGCTTCTTTAAACAAAAAATGGAGAGTATGCAAGATTAGGATTTTCTGAGCTCAAGAGGGATGGTAAGGGAGGCTGAGGAAAGCTAATGACCCTTTAAATAGGGCGCAAACCCCTGGAAATTAGGGTTTCATTTTCCAGCTCCTACTCATCGAGTTGGGGTCCTCCAACTCATCGAGTAGACC